TACTATACCGCTACCTACTATGATACTGTAGTAATCATTGGTACACTCGGAGATGGGGAACATATTATTTCTATGACTGTGACTGATTTTTGGAAGACCTTATGCCTTCCAATGCTAGATGATCACTTTCCTCTTCTCCCTATGGAGGAATGTCGTGTTGTTCCTAACAAGTTGGATTATGATTTTGAGAAACAAGGAAACTATAATGTTATTCGCCTGCATCTTCTCACTACCTGTAAATTTCTCACTGGTTTCCTTGGGAAGAGTTTCACTCAAAAACCAAGGAGTCTTGATCAATTGAATGCTTTTGAACAGTGTATTCTTTTCTCATTCATCAAGAACAAGCAACTGGACTTTACTCAGCTTATTTTTGACCAGTATGTTGAAACAATCAAGGGAAATAACTGATCATCTCATGTTCCTTATCCCCTATGGTTTGAACTTACTCTTCAGTATATTGGTACCGAGTACAATGGTAAACAAGTTGCAGATTGGGTTCCTTCTTTCACTTTTTCAAAATTTCAACCAGGATCGTCAAGACGTTTGGAGCATCACAATGGGAATACAGAAGTGGATTAATGCCCCATATGAGTGTGAGAGATTGCCATATGTTGCTTCAGAAGTCCCTTCTAAGGATGAAGAAAAGGTAGATGAGAACCAAATTCCAGAACAAGAAACGAATGAAGATCAACAAGCTTACACTGAGACAAATGAAGATGTTAACTCTGCGAACAAGAATGTTGATGTTGTCAGTGAGTATGAGTATAATAGTGAAGACACTAAAATGATCCTTGTTAATCAAGGTCAATAAGCTCAAGTTTTCTTGTAGAATTACAATAAGGCCGAATCCATATGTCCTAATATGCACATTCATTTTCAGTATCCTCCATCCCCGTATAAAGAAGAAGAAGAAGATATTTCTGAAACTCCTTCTCCACAATGTCAAAAAAAATTTGATGACATTGATCATGTTTTCGAAACTCCTCCACATTCCAGAGGTAATACTCCTCCAGCTCGTATATCTTCTCTAGTATCTTCTCCCCATCGTTTTCGAACTTCACTATTCTGAACTCCACAAACTCAACAAATGCAGCGTGCTCCCACTCATCCCATTCAAACAGCACAACGTTCTACCGATCTACAAGTTCTTCCCACTCAAGCAACTTTTCAGGGGAAGCAATCAAAACCAATTTCCATTTGACTTGTTTAAAGACTTCCATGTGAAACTCCTCCCTACCTTGGATTCTCTAGTTCAACTGACTTCCAACATGAGTCAACGACTAGCTATGATAGAAAGTGATGTTGTTAATATCATGCGCATTCTTTCAGATGTTGATATTAAAGTTGAGGATGATGGGTATCAATCACCACCAAATGATGTCCATCAACCACCTGATTTTACCAGGGCTCCTCCATTAGGTGGGAATACCTCCATCAATCATCCTCCATTTCCTTCTGGTCCGCCACAATCTAATCTGCCACCTTTACTTTCCCAACCTCCACATAACCATACTCTTCCATTCACCCTTCAGACTCACTCTCAAGCGGATGATGCCAAAAAGGGGGAGAATCTGTCCAATTCTCACACTGACGCTGATACTGATGTAATTCTTGAGTACATTCTTGATTAGTCGGATATTGATGATAAAGTCTATTTCATGGACTTGTCATTTATTTATGCAAAGCCACTTCAGATAGTGTTTCCAGGCTCTCATGCTGATGTAGAGGGGGAACAAATCCATCAGGAGGAGGAGCAGGTTCCTCAATGGGAGCCAGTGACATTGGATTTGATGAAGATAATGTTCCATTGAGCAGGAAATAAAAAGGCCAAAGCTGCTCCTGTTGTTGGCCCTTCCAAACATAAATGCACACATCTTATAATGAATGAAATGGAAAAAGTATGGGGAATTCCTATCGAAGAGGCTAGGGAGTTTTCCAGGAAACACAACAACCGGATTGCAAATCAGATATGTCCCAGAAAAGATTCCAAGAAGATCCAAGAAAAATTGACTGCCACTGACACATTGTCTGAAAAAACTGAGCGACTGAATAAGTCAATTCATTAATGTCTAAAGAGAGTAAGGTTCTAGAAAGCGTAATTACCAGACTTTAACGGAGCAGTTATTTAGATGTACTTACAAGGATAGGAGATTATGATCCAATTATCAAAGTAAGATTCACTAAGCCAAAAGATGAAAAAGTTCTTACAGTGTATATCACACAGTATGGTGATAAAGGTCAAGATGCAGGCCAATATATTGAAGTGTTGTTTGCTAAGGATTTGGTAAAATTTAGGTACAACAAGTGGCTGCAACTTTTAGAGTTGGTTAACAAACAGAAAGGCAAATATGTTTAGGAGCTGAGGTTTATATTAGAGAGACTTATCACAAACATTAAAAGTATTGACCTTATACCAAAGACTTCCTATAAACCTTCCTCATCCTTAGCATCTGCTTCAGTGCCCAGCAAAGGGACTCCTAACAACGTCATATTTCTTTTTCCGTATGGCACCAAAGTTATTAACAACGCTTTTCTGGTGGTGTTGATCCTGTTTTCCAGCGCTCTATTGATATTGCCAAGGCACCCAATGAGCATTTAGTTCACCTAATGATTGTGTGTATGGGCCATATATAACTCAAAAAGAGCTTTCATTTCCCGATCTCACTAGAGTTGAACAAGAGGAAGAAAGAACTGGAAATTTCTGATTACTTCTAGGTCAAGCCAGAAGTGCAAGAAGATGTTGATGAGTTATATAGTCGTTATTATGAAGGAGTATTCAGGTTTTGACATCATCAGATTGGGGGGGGGGGATTGTAAAGTCGAACCTTAAAATCCGATGAAGTAAAAACCAAGTCATGCTGATCACATCAGTACCAATGTGAAGGTTTGTATCAATCAGATACACTTCAAGTATAATTAACAAAGAACAAACTAACTAAACAAAGGTCAAACAGAAAAATAAAGAATACAAGTAATCACAAATATGTATTTGACCAAGAAAGGGGTGTTCTCACCAAGAGAACGAAGGTCACAAAGACGGCCACCAAGACTTACATTAGGGCTTCACCCTAATGTTGATTATATACAATTACATAACAAACATCCCACTAACTAAGGGATGTATAGCTATTCTAAGTAAATATATGCTCCTTATCACCAAGATTAGGGATCATATATCTATTTTATACATATTTGTATAACTGCCGAATATACAAATATTACATAAGATTATTATCTTCACGCTGACGGTGATAAGGTATTTAGGTGTTGGTGCTAATGTTGGTAGTCGGCGAATAAAGTGTTTGACTCATCAGATCATAAGGTGTGACCTTACATAGTGTTTGACTAGCGCCAACGTGAATTCTAGTTTATAATGTCGTTCCGACATTATAATGTAATCTTTTGTAATTATGTTATATGCATAGTTAGTTATAAGATCTGATTTCATGGAGATATTCGATATATAATATAATTTATGCAGATTAGGTGAAATCCTTGAATTGTAGGGATTCTTAAAATCTTGATTTACTATAAAACCATGTATCAAGGTTTTGTGTCATTTTTTGATTCACGAACCCTAGCTATGCGCTCGTTCTTTTTATGAGAACTTTCTATGTGAAAACTTGTATGATAAATCATTGTTCTTTATCTTTCTTGTTAATTGGTTTTGATCAAGGAACTTGCATCCCCATTATTTATTCACCATAACAATTACATATTTATATATTTTATAAATGTTTTAGGTAATCAACTTAGCAACTAAACTTGTCAACATTTCTCGTACCAATGCTCCTAGCATGCATATCATGTTTTCCTTTGGTCTTTACTGTTGTGAAAGAATCATCAAAAACATATTCACTTCATAACTAGATCTCCATCCTTTACATTTTCATGGATGTAGTGGATTTTCCTCCTTCTATGCATTGACCTTTTGTGATCTTAAGAATCCTTAGTCAACATGATTGCACTTTCACAAAATATTTCTAATGGAAATGTGTTACTCAAAAGAACTCCAAGGTCAACTATGAAGTTTTCTAGTCCAGGTACGCTCCTTGGATGCTTTAGTTTCACTAAAGTAATTCGACTCATATTGTTGAGTCTACCACCATCTCCCACATTAAACGTTTCATGTTATTGAACTACAATTTAAATTGAATGGGTCGGTTTGGGTCGGTTTTGACCTATAACCGAACCCAAAACCAAACTATCGGTTTTAAGAAAATTTGAACCCAACCCAATCCAAAACCGATGGGTTCGGTTTCCTGGTTTTTCGGTTTCACTGAATTCGGTTTTGGGTTTTAATCGGTTTTAAAACCGAAAACTTCTGAAACTTCGTAACCAAATACTACCCATGGTTTTATTCGGTTGGGTTCAACCCAAATCTAGTGAATTCATTATATAGAAGAACATAGTAAAATGAGTTTGATCCCAACTTCGATGTAGGACAACTCTAATATGATATTTAAAAGACATCACCTAAACTCTGCCTTATACAATCATATTTACTAAGAAGTTTTCTTCCAGCGTCGATGTGGGATAGCTTTAGGATACTAGAAAAATAAAATTCCCAAGTACACTCAGCAAGATTCGAACATTGGTCTTTCGTGAATAAGAGACAACGGCTTACCAAGCCACCAAGAATATATATTATATGTATGTATAATACGATTTTTTTATATATTTAATAAACTTCGGTTCGGTTCGGTTTTTCACGGTTTCTTAAATTTATGAAACCGACTCAAACCGAAAATTTCGGTTTTTGAAAATCCCAAACCCAAACCGTCGGTTTTGGTTTTTCGGTTTCGGTTTTGTCGGGTTTTTTTTCGGTTTTTTTGGTTTATGGGTTCGGTTTTGCTTACCCCTAATTAAATTACTAGTATATGATATAAATTTATATTTATCAACCTTTTTATTAAATCTTTATTAAAAATTTCATTAAAAAACATAAATCCTTTTTCAAATACTCCGTATAAGAAAGTGTACACTTGTATAACCAGTGTGTTATTGACAGAGTAAAAAGAACAATGGCTCCCGAACTGAATAAGCTTCCTGTCATTACCTTCAACGGAGAAACCCTAAGCCCCAGCAATGGCGCCTGGCGATCAACATCTGACGCCGTACGTCAAGCCCCTCGAAGACTACGGTTGCTTCGTGCTCTTCACCAACAAAATCCCTTCTGTTCTGCGCGACTCCATTTTCGAGCTCTCAAAAGACTTATTTCGTCTCCCTACCGAAACGAAGATTAAGAACACTTCAGATATCCTCGGATTCGGATACGGGAAATATGCCTTCATGCCTCTGTGGGAGTACTTCGGCATCGAAGATGGCGCCACTCTGGAAGCTACTCGAAAATTCACCGATCTCCTCTTCCCTTCCGGGAACAACGCCTTCTGGTAACTTAAACTGATACACACTAAATGCTAAGTACAAAATTTTCGTTCAAATTGGTTAATTTTGTGGTGATTTTGATGGCAACTTTAGTGAAACTGCATTCGAGTACATGAAATTGTTATCGGAAATCCACAACTGTGTGTTGAGAATGGTATTTGATAGCTACGGGGTGGAATCGAAGCATTGCGATCGATTGACAGATTCGGCGTTGTACCTGTCTAGATTCATGAAGTATCGGTCCCCCAATGAGGGCGAAGGTGCAATTGGTCTTCCTGCTCACTCTGACAAGAGCTTCTTGGCCATTTTAGATGACAACGATGTTAAAGGATTAGAGGTTGAGATGAGAAACGGAGACTGGATCCATCATGAGCCTTCCCCATCGACGTTCGTAGTTGTCGCCGGAGAACCCTTCATGGTAATATTTTGACTCAAAGTTATCGTTAAAACTGATAACCTGACCCATTAATAAAATATATGAATTGGAGTACAAAAGTTGCTTATAAAAGATTTGAATTTGAATAAAGTAAAAACTATTTTTGATTTTGTTTTTTAAATCTTTCAAATATATTTTTTATTAATTATTAAAAAAAACTCAATCTTTTATATGTATTTTTTATGTCATTTCACATCGTTTTGTCAAAAGCCATTTTCTAGTCTGTCAAAATAAAATCTAAATATATTTTGGTATGAAACAGGCGTGGAGCAACGGAAGAGTGTATGCACCATTACATCAAGTGGCAATGAGAATGAGAGATAAAGAAGTCGTTAGGTATTCGTTAGGGTTATTTTCGTTTATGAGGGCAACAGTGGAGGTGCCAGATAAATTAATTGAAGATGATGAAAATTGTTTGATATTTAATCCTTTTAATCACTTGGATTTCTTAAAGTATGTAGTGACTGAGGAGGGGCGTGCATCTAAATGCGCTATTAAATCTTACACTGGTGTTACTATTGATGTCACCATGGAACCTTGATTGCACATGGTGGTTTTGGTTGGTCGTTCGTGGTTTGTTCGTTTTCCTTGAATTGTCAATATAAAACTATCTTAAATTTAAATGAAATATAATAAGATGGGTATTAATGTATGGTGTGCACAAATGTATAGTAAATAGTCTTTAGGAGTTTATATAACACGACACGACACGATGTCGTGTTTTTTTTAACTAACACGAAAACGAACCGATTAAAAAACGACAAACACGACATGACACGGCAAAGATAACATAATAAAAAAAATTAGTTTATTTAATTAATATTTAATCATACATAATACGAAAAACACAAAAAACACGACAAATAAATGCTAATCGTGTCAATTTCGTGTCGAATTTTAAACACGAACACGACACGACATCGTGTTTTTTACACTTAACACGAACACGACACGAACACGAATTCGAATTTCAGTTTCGTCCCAATTTCGTTTCGTGTCATTTATTTTTGTCATGTCGTGTCAACAATTGTCACCCCTACATGTCCCTATCTCTGAGTGTCTAACATCATCCTTATCCCTCACGAATATGTGGAATCAAATCCCTCCTTTAGATTTTGGGTTTTTCTCCGGCCTATCCACGACCCATGCCTAATCCATTATCGATTTATCAATATAATAAAATCAACTTACGCAAAAAAAAAATAATAATAATAATAATTTCAAGTTTCATAAAATCAAAACCAAAGGCGATAATTAAATTATGTTTACATTAATTATAAAGTTTAAAAAACATCAAAATGAGAAGTGACGATTTCGTATACAGACTATCGAAGGAATTGACGAACATAATTTGGTATACATACTCTAGCTCTGTATGGTCTAATACAGATCAATTCATGTTTAATTGACTTAATTCTAATTCAATAAATTATCAATATATATATATATATATATATATATATATATATATATATATATATATATATATATATTATTAAACATATTGCCCATTTCTTGAAAATTAAGAGGTACACCTATTATAACATTATGTACAAATCTATTAAGCATAATAAAAACGTACTATCTCTAAACGCCCCTACGTCTAAACGTGGAAAACCCTAATGTCATCTATATACCATCGTTTCTCCCAAATCTCTTCTCTCTCTACTTGCTCTATTGAATCTTCAGCGGACCTCCGTTACGACCACCCTCATGACGCCGTCGCTGCAACCCAAAAGTATGTCACCGGCCACCCTGTTCTTCCCTCCTAACTAGATGATCGACCCCCTGGAAGTCCACCATTTCCGCCACCGCCATTCACCGCCCCGTATGTCGCTTCTACCTTCTGTCGAGATGAGAGACCCTAACCCTATCCCGCCGTCCCCATCAATGCCAATGTCACACACTCCAAACTCCAATCAAGTAAATCGATAATTATTTCACCTTTCTTGAATCTTGATTTTTTTTCACTAATCATCTGGTCGTTTATAAAATGATATGTCTAATTGTTGATATATTCAGTTGATTTTAAGTTAAGGTTGGTTGGGGGTGCACCCGGTCTCACTTCTCCTGTTGTCAATCGTCATATTATATAATCATATGCATCATTAATGGTAGCTTATAAGTCACTAACTAATTTGCCAACCACATCAACATCGGGTGGTTTTCTTTCTTTCTCGCTTCTTTTAGTGACAATGTGTAATTCGGATTTCATGATTTAATGATTTTGTTGTTCCGTAAACCTGCAATTTTGTTTGACCGATTGATTAAACCGGGTGATAATTGAGTTTTCAGATTTGGATATGTTGAAGGAAAACTTGGCAAAATTGGTTTTAATATAAACTTGCAATTTTGTAGAACCTGTTAGATTTTATGATATGGATTGAACGAAAGTAGGGTTATATTTCTTTGGATCCCCTCTATCACCACTTGTTCTCGACGCCGTCATCAACCTTCTTTACCGCTCACAACATCTTGAGAGGCTTAAGATAGTGTTTTGAATCATTATAGAGGTAGAAATGTTACCAGACTTGACTTAAAGTTGAGTTTTTACATTTTATTTTTACATCTCATGGTTTTAATTCAACTAGTATGTGAAATGGTGGACGTTTTTTTAGTGAGGACGTGTAATTATTTCATTCATGTTGTTTCATTTTTAAGCTTCACAACATGTAATCCCCCAAAGTTCCCATTTTTTTAAAATCGTATTAAACTTCCTTTGATTTAGAAATCTTGAAGTTGATTTCTGCAATTTTCAGTAAAATTAGGTAATGGATGTACCAAAGGCTGAGGTGGTTCTGGTGGTAGCATCTACCTAAAGGCTAATAAACCGAAACGGAGTAGGGGAATCCCCTAAATACCCCTGCTGTATAGTACTTTGATATCTACCACAAATGAGTGTTGTGTTTATATGTGGCTATATCTGTAAAAATGTGTTTGGATTTGCCTGTAAGTTTAATTTTCTAATTTGCAGGGCAGTTTTGGAAACATCTAGAAAAAAAGATTAAATCTTTGAATGCTATTTGTATTGTTCTTTTTCCAGGTGATTCAACTCCTTTTGTGAATCGTAGAAAATGATTTTGTTTATGTATATGTTTATTGACATTTGATTCTCTATTCCTATTATTTTGTCTAGTTTTTTCTTCCTTGACATCATTTTTTGACAAGTTCACGAACCTTGTTATTGCAATACAGTTAAAGTGAATGGTGAAGAGAATAATAACATATGCATGGTGGTAAGCCTCTCGACATAATTACTAGACGAAAGTTTAATGGAGTTTATATAAGTCTTCACAAATTTAAGTCTATTTCCCTTGTTCTTTATGTTCTTTATGCAGGTTAAAGTGGGAACTGTCATAGTTGAAGAACTTGAACCAATCAGCAGACCACATGGCTTGTAGATCTGTATTGGTATGTTTTTTTTTTTTTAATATTATGTATTGGTACATACTAACAAATGAAATGCTACACAAGCAACAAAACACAAACATATTAAGGTTAAACAATTGTTATTTTAGGGGAAAAACATGGAGCAGTAATGAGATTATATAAAGAAAGGATGCATGGAAATGTTCACTTAAAAGTATTATATGTATAAGGTTCACAAAATTTCTTCATTCTCCTTAATCACTTATATTGTTTATTGATATTGTGTTTGTTAGATTTAAGGTTTCATTTAGATTTGTCACGGTTCTCTAATGCCATGTTTTATTGTCTATTGGTTGCATAACGTCTGTTATCTTCTTTCCATTGTAATGCTCCATTTGATTGTAGTAGATACTTTTACTGTTTAAACCTCATTCACCAGGTTTATACAATGGATGCATGTGAGATACCATTGTAGGTATGTTTTTTGTTGACACTAAATACATTTTGTTTATAACATAGCAGTGAGATTGAAATTTTATTAATTTCAGATAAATTTATCTGTGGATGGATATTTTTGTAATGTTTATAATTTCTCTTTGGATTGATTTATAGATTATCTGTCAAGCAACTTTGAGAAGGAGTGATGCATGTTTTTGTTTTCTCCGTTAGAAAAGAGCCAAGAAGAGATCCTGATTAGAGATTGATGCATGTGATGTAGGTTACTTACCCATATCTACAATGGTTTTAAATGAGATTAAAATTGATTATGTAGCTATCTTTGGGTGTTGTTTTTCTGTCCATATGCTATTCCCTTTGGTTTTGTTGTTTGGGTGGGTAAACTTTATTTTTATATAAAAAAATAAGTATTTCTCATCGTTAATGCTAAAAGAGCACAACATCAAGTTATTTGCAAAAATTTGAGTATAAAAAATGTTTATGAAATCTCTTTGGATCAATTGTAGTTTGAATTGATTACATGTTCATATATATATTCTAATATTTTATATTTTTCCGATTAATACTTGCACGAATTCCATTATGAGTACATAAACTTATATCTATTCTTTTACTATATAAAATTCCATATACTTTTATTTATACGATTAAATAAAATATTTCTCAATAAACGTAAAATAAAAACTAACCTTTAAAATTTTGAAATTGCATGTATATAACTCATGATCTCACAACAAACTAAGCATTATACATAATAATAAAATCAAAACATGAACAAACAATTACAAATAATAACTTTCATTTTAATTTGACAAACTCAATGTTGGTTCACATAAATCATTGTTTATCCTTTTACAATTAAAATGATCACAAAATTATTCTACTAAAAAAGTTGATGATAATAAACTAAAATTAAATTATCTAATAAAATTGAATCTATAACAAAAACTAATATACATATCATATGCAATATAAAATGAAATTATTCTAAATTTAAAACATTAGCATTATATCCATATATATAAGATGTTATAAGGTAAGTACAAATTCGGTCTTTAGATTTTACCCTTTTTTTTCAAAAGTATTTTATGATTAACTACTAAAAGTTTGTTATTTTTTTTCAAATAAAACCACATACATTTTTTAATTATATTAAAAATGAAAAAATGACATACGTTTATTTTTAAACAAAATAATAACATACCTTTAACTATGTTTTTTTCCTCTAAATTTACAAACAAAAAAATGTTTTGTACAAATATATTATCATGAATTAGAGAGTTATATATTTTCGTAACGATAAAACACATATATAAAAACACCTATTCAACATATACAAACCCGACAAACGCATTAGAAAATACATTGTGCGTCGGAAAGAAAACAAATTATTGAATTGAAGCAAATTTTTAATATAACATATTTCTTAAAGAAAAATAATCGTTGAATTGAAACTAACCAATGTTCGTCGAAAAAAACAAATTATTCACACCCGACGCTTGGTGCGGGTAAACGGCTAGCATATATATATATATATATATATATATATATATATATATATATATATATATATATATAATGTCATCAAAGCGGGAGTGTAGCAAGTTAGGGATTGGTATACCCGTCCCCGATTCTAGCCTAATGGGGATCCATGGACTCATACCCGATGCCTGTTTTTGTGAGGAATACCGATCCCCGATTGGGGCCCACCGGGTATGGTTAAATTTCCATGCCTAGTAATGAATTATTATTACTTTTTTCACAAAAGCAATTGTTTGTTTTGAACCTAAAATCAATTATCAAT